GAGGTCCTCAGGTGGGAGGTCCTCAGGTGAGAGGGCTGGTGGTTGGTGCTTTAACAGTTATAACTACATTACAATGTGTCACTCAAATGCTCCTGTGCTGCTTATAAAGGCTCAGCAGAGGAACTTGAGCGAAGTGCTGCGTGTTCCGTTCCAGTGAACTTAAAGGTGTGAGAACACGATGTACCATCAGGTGGAGTCTGAAGACGGTTCTGTCGTTATCTTGGTGACGCAGACACAGAGGAACACGACGAGGCTGCAGTTCAAACCTTATCTCAGCACTGCTGCTCAATCCTCCTCCAGCAAACTCTACAGCCATTCTGACCATCATGTCTGTCATCAGTCAAAATGTCCTCTGTTAAAGTCATGTCAGTTAAAACATCTGTTTAAAGTCATGTCAGTAATATGTAATATGGAAATCAATCCGTCGGCACCACTTAAGCTTTAGGGCCCAGGGGAAGGACCACTTGGGACGAGAGGCGGGATCACAGCCTGCACAGGTTACCAGCGAATCACAGGCCGACATACCGACGCTCACGTTCTCACCTACAGTGGATTTAGAGTCTCCAGTTAACCCAACTCCAATCTGCTGTGTTTGGACAGAGGAAGAGAAAACCACAGACGCAGACTTTTATGAGGAAATGCAGTTCTTAATATTTCAGACCAGATTTCCTGAGGCTTTACGACACACACACACACACACACACTATTCTTTGTTGTGCCGCTACATGTTCAGTAAAATACCTTCAAATGTTTCAATCTGAAGCAGAACTGTGAATTCTGTCTTTTTTTACTTTAACAGTTGTTAAACGAGCATACGTCCATATATGTGCTCTCAGAATAGTGGAGCGGTGTGGAAGCCTGCAGCTCTGCAGGTGTTGATTTCAGGAGGTGCTGCTTCTCCTCCTTCTTCAAATAAATAAAATAAAACCTTTTCCCACCAAAACTCTGGGAATTTGAAAACTGTTTCTGCACGACCGGCCTAATTATATTCAGAAAAGCACTGATTCAAGGAACTTAATACTAAACTTAAATTATTCTTTAACAATTAAAGTACTTAATTTTTTTGATGCAGTAGAAAAATATTAGCAGCTCGGATTTCGATCACCCTCCTTGACTTATATTCTGTATTCATGTGTCACAGATTCACAAAGCAAACAACATTGTGTAAGCTGCTTGTGTCAACAACAGCGGAGGCTGTCGTCCTATATCTGAACTGAACCACAGACCAGGAGGAACCAACTGTTTACTGCTGAACAACCCATTTACATTGAAAAACACGAACATGTGAACTAATGTGATTTTATTAATGGAAGAGACATTTTAAATAAGAACAATGTGTAGATTAAAAACATCTCAAACCCTTGTTTTGAACTGTCGCTTATGACTTCATCTTTATATACAGATTGGTTTCGACAGCTACGGGAGTATTTGTTCTGTTACCACACGTCTCCTCGCGTCACTGAGCCCGAGGACACGGCAGGTGAACTGCTTCATGTGTTTGGACTCACACACCAACCTCCGTATTTCCCACCACTGTACCGTCACGCACACATATGATGAATGTTTCGCCGGCTGCAGGCGCTCAGGTAACATCTTCTGAAAGTCTGAAGTCAACCGCGTTCAAGTCTTTGGATCTTAAGGAACGAAGACGTCTCAGAACTCCTCTCATGGAACAGACGCTTTGACCCAAATCGGTCGGGACTGAGCCCACAGTGTTTTCTGTGACGGAGCCTTCAGGGCAGTTCCATCTGCAGCTTCATCTCTTATCTCACTGGTCCGCAGCGTCTTATCCGTCCACTCTGAAACGTCTTGTCTTTTGGTTTGACCTCAATCTCACCGGGAGTTCCTTTAAGTGTGTCATGGCACAGACAAACATCCTGCTCCCATCCCCTCCCCCCGGGGGTGCCCCAGGGCCACGTACTGGGGCCCCTTCTGTTAGCGCTACACACTGCTTGGTTGGGTCCAATAATGTTTTCTCAAAAACAACAGTTGAACGAATGTGACTTGTTAAGCTCAAATGACATGGTTGTCATCTATGGTGTAGAACCAAGACACACGCTGCTTCTCAGACGGCGTCAGGGTCGTCAGTTTATGTCGACTCCGCTTGACATCGTTTTTCATTTTCTTAACAAAACAAAGCAACATTACTGATTTACTTTACCGACAAGTCAAGCTGACAGTGATCGCCCTCTGCTGGACCAGGAGACAAACTACTTCAGACAATCTGATTTGCTTCTACACTGTGTGGTGTGAATTCAAATGGGTCATTACAAGTGGAATACAAACCTTTTTCACAAGAATTCTGATGACACTGCTGCAGACAACCCCTGTCCTCTCCTTCAGATGACATGTCCCCACATCATGGCCGCTTAAATTAAATCCAAGTCATTACCGCTTGTCTGCAGAGCGACTTCTGGCTCTGCACCTTCTTCTTGAACTCACTCCGAGATGCTTAAGCTCTTATTCACTCAATTCATCCAAACACCGTGGTCATGCAGAACCATCTCAGCACACAGAGCAGTCACAGTCCACTCTGCTCTTGTTTGTCGGAGGTGCGTTACACCTTCGATTGTTACGAACCTCTTGAAGACTCATCACTTGGCTCTCAGATTCTGAAATGAGGTCTCGCGTGTCTCTCACTGGACTGAAGCTCTGGTGTTGTCCCTTTGTAAATAAACATCCATCAGATAAAATAATGAAAATGAAAAAGATAATGTTTTCATTGTTTATCTCTGGTACACAGCAAACAAAGAGATCAATACATGTATACTTTGATTCGATTGCATGTGAGGACGTAGGTTTTAGTTTATATTATTTTTAGTATGGAAACAATGGCAGTACTTTAGTTACTGTATAAGTAATTTAATTATCCCTTCCTGCTGCAGCTTGTAGTCACTCTTCATGCTGAAAGGTTTTCATTTCTGTGCAGCGCTCGGAGTTTATCGTTGCTGTCCAGGTTCAGTAAAGTCCAAGTTAATCCCAGACAGCAGCTCTCCTCCACACGAGCGGTTCAGCAGCTCTTTCAAGGCTTCGTTCACGTCGTTATTGAAAACCGTGGAGAAGTTGCAGTTGGGGTATCCTCCACCGTCGAGGGGAAATGAACCCATCACCTCCTGCACCCATTTCAGCTCATTGCTCAGCTCCAGGCGCAGCGCGTCGAAGTGGCTCTGCCTCTCCTGGTAGCGGTTGCTGATGGTGCCGAGGCTGGAGCTGAATGCGTGCATGTCGTCCTGCAGGCTCCTCTTCAAGGCCTCCACCTTACGGAACTCGTAGCGGATTTGCGAGAGCTCGTGGCGCACGCCTTCACTCTCCTCCTTGTACCAGGCCTCCTTCTCATTGTATATAGAGACCATGGCGTCGATGTCTTCCTGCAGAGAGTCATGCGCTGCTGCCAGACTGATGAACGAGCTCTCCATCTGGTCAACGTCCTCCACCACCTGGGCAAAGCGCTCAAAGTTGACATAGGTGTTGTTGGGTGGCATGCTGGAGTGGGACTTGATGGTGTACTCCCTCAGACGCTTGGTCTTCAGCTGGCGTCGCTCGCGTTTCTTCGGCTCTTGGGTTTTATTTTCCTCCTTGTGCTCATTGGACTTTAAAAAAAAGGATGATTAGTTACTTTCAGCTTCAGAGAAAGTGACACTGAAACAGGAAGGAACTAACTTTCTAATCACAACCAGCTTTATCTGCTAAACTACGCCGTGTGCATAATAACACAGAAAGTGATCGACCTCATTGAATTCAGACAAATCGTTCCAATAATAATAATAATAAAGATAAACTTTCTGTTTATTCAACTGTTGTTGAATATTTTCTTGTGTTGAGAGTTATCACATCAACTTTTCTGTACTTGTCTTTTTCCTTCTCTGTATTCAAGAGCAGACGTCTGGTGACTGGATGTAAACACCAGGTCACGTGTTCACACACCTTGAATATATAATTAAGTTTTCATCTCACCTTGATCCACGGGTGATTCAGAGCATCTTGAATTGTTAATCTCTTCCTGTGCAAGGAAAAATATTTTACATCATTTATGCGGAGTCTGAGATTCTGGAAACCATTTAAAACAAGTGAAAGCACAAAGCTGGACTTTCTTTTGGTGGTTCAGTGTGTTACTGTGAACTCTTACTTCTTATCTCTCTCCAGCAGCTGGCTGATGAACTTCTTGGCCAGTTCACTGGTGCGACAGAAGAACTCTTCATCAAACTCGTAGTTTATGGCTGAAATGTTCCTCAGTGTGTCACGTTTGGTTTCTCCCAGAAAAGGTGACGCCCCACTCAGCCTGGAACAAAACATTCACAGACGAGCGGTTCATCGTCCTGTTTGACGGAAGCTGCCGAAACATGTAGTTTAAAGTAAAGCTGCTGTCAGACGTGTTCCTGACGTGTTCCTCACATGTTCCTCACATGTTCCTCACATGTTCCTCACATGGTCTGTATGTGAGAACAAATGTCTGAGTCAGTGTCTCTGGACATTTTCTGGATCAACAACAACACTAATCTTTCCACAGCAGAGTTTATATTTCCTGTCCCGCCTCCTGCTGCTCTACAGGCTCCACCCCTCGCCTGTCCCCCACATGTTCCTGTTGTTGTGAACGAGTCGACAATCTGCTGCTGCACACACACTGACTACACAACATGACTACACAACATGACTACACAACATGTTCCTGTTGTTGTGAACGAGTCGACAATCTGCTGCCTCACAGGACCAACAGCAACATTTCATGTCTGAAAACAGCTTCAGTGTCGTTGTGTTGTTTGTGTCGTTGTGTTGTTTGTGTCGTTGTGTCATTGTGTTGTTTGTGTTGCACTTGCAGGATGTAGGTGATGACTCCGATGCTCCACATGTCGGCCTCTAGCCCCAGCGGCTCGTAGTTGACAATCTCTGGAGCTTAAAAGACAACAAAACATTCATCAGTGTTAAAGTTGCTGTTATTCACAGTAACACACAGCGTGGTATCATTTGTGTGCGACGGCCCCGAGGCCTCTGCCAGAAAATAAACAAAATATTTGCGTGAATTGAATTAAAGATTTAACTAGAGGACGCTGAGTTATGTGCTCGTCTGAGATAGAAGAGATAGATTTAAATTTAGGCTTTTTCATGTCTTGGTTGGATTTTTATCCCAACACTTTAAAAATAAACTGCATCCTGTCTCACCTACAAACTCCGGAGTCCCAAAGATGTTTTTGAACTCGACGCCAGCTTCGATCTTGTGAGCGAGACCGAAGTCGATGAGTTTGATTCTGGGCAGCGGGACGTTCTTGTCCAGGAGCATAATGTTTTCAGGCTGCAGTCGAGAGAGAGAGAGTTTACTGAGAATCACCAACGACAGAAAAACACAAATCACTTCAACTGTGACACAATCTCCAAAAGACACACGACAACTGTGAAAATTAATAAACCTGCAGAAATCAGAAATAAATGATCGAGCAGGAAACAAATATTCATTCATCAGAGTCTGAAAACAACTGAACACACTTCATACTTTGTGGATTACACAAAGATAACTACGCCACCTAGTGGCACAAATCTCCCTTGTGTTACTGTGGAGATGAAGAAGTAAAAAGTAAACTGAGACAATGAGCGAATCTTCTGACCTGAATAATGGCTCTGATTAGAGCTGCTCACTGTTCACGTCTTCATACTGATTATTTGGAGATTATTGAAAAAATATGTCCATTACCAAACGCCCTCATTTCATTTATTCAAATATCTGATGAAACAGAGAAAGAAGCTGGAAACAACAGATTCGGACCTGAAAATGTGATTTTCCGTCAGAAATCAGTTCATCGAGTTATGAAAACAATAACAAGTGTTATTTATGGATCTATAATAAATATAGTTTGTATTATTAATGAACAGGTTTGGTCGAATGACATTAGATCATTAGATCAGCTCAGATCATGTTTTAACATATGATTCATTTGAACAGTTGTGAGGAAGGAAAACAAACGTCTGACGGTTCTGTCTCTCTTTGATATAATTCCTGTTATAATAACTATAATAACTAATAAGCGTCTTCTTTAGTGCTGAATCACTGTGAGCTCTCAAACGTCTGAGCATGACGCAGGCTTGTGACACGTGTCACCGTTGGGTCACGAGGTGAGCGTGTGTCACCGTGACCCTCTGAGGTCGTGGCCGGCTCAAACCTTCAGGTCGAAGTGGGCGATTTTCCTGGCGTGCAGGTAGTTGACGCCTTCCAGGATTTGCTTGATGAACTGAGTGGCCTCTTCTTCACTCAGAGACTCTTTCTGTGCCAGGAAGTCGAACAGCTCACCCCCAGAGACCCTGAAACACAAACTCTCATCCTCCAGACGTCTGCTGCAGTTACATCAGCGTCACACTGCTGCATTCAAATGTGCATGAAGTCGTGTGGTGATGTGTTCATGGTCATGTGGTCAAAAGAAGAACATGTAAATGACTGATATCCATTCTGACCCAGTCAAAAGAGCACAGTCGGAATCGCTGCTGTGAGAAACCTGTGAAATCGTTTGCTTCTAAACAACCTAATATTTTACTAAATGGTTCATCTTCATTTAAATCCTCAAATATTCTGTGATGATGATTTTATATATTAAATTAAAAAAATTACTAATACCCCCAACTGAAGACACGCCCACATCAGACTCCGTCTACAAACCAATCAGTGTCAAGTATAGGTGGACGACGCCCACGTAGGTGATGAGGACAGACGTACGTATGAGAGACAGAATTCTTTAGTCCCTGAATTACAAAGTGAAACTAAAACAGATGAAACATGAACGAACATGAAGCTTCAGACTCAGAGAGAAAGTGAGCTGAGTGTGATTCAGGTAAAACCAGACTGAGCTGCTGTGTCGGACACATGAATCCACTCACAGCTCCAGGATGAGCACCACGTCCGTGCGGTTCTCGTAGACGTCGTGCAGCGTGACGATGTTGGGATGTTGAATCTGCTGCAGGATGTTCACCTCCCGCTCGATTTCCTCCCGCCGCACCCCTCGTGAGCTGGACATGCTCGGCCGCTTCTTGATGAACTTGGCGGCAAATTCCCGACCCGTGCTTCTCTCTCTGCATTGCTTCACGATGGCGAACTGTCCACTGAAACACAGACGAGCAGAGTTACAGTCTGACGCCGTGGTTCCAGGCGGACCGAAAGGTTTTTCTAACAAACATTTTTGGAAGTGACCTTTGACCTTTAGGACTGATTGAATGAGCTTCAGGCAAAAGAGGAAAAGAAAGAATTCTATTGGAGTCATTGATTCTTTGTTCAGTTGCTCTTTAAATGAAAACTGTTCACCCTCAGTCACATGTGCTGCATCACCATGTTGGACGAGTGATTAGAGTTTCCTCAACACTTCTATTTATAGTGTCGCACACATTCTGCAGCGACATGATGAACCCGACACTCACACACTCACCAGCAAACACTGAATCCTGGGTTCGATGTTCACTGTTTAACATTCAAACCTTTAAGTCTGGACGGCTGCGTGAATTTCTTTCTGGTTCGGTTTGTGAGCGAACACTTTACTTCCTCGTCCGCAGCAGATTTGTCCTCTCGGCTAAAGATAGAAGAGTCGTGACGGTCGTCTGCACACGACAACACACAGCAACGCAACCACACCCAACAAACACACTGCAGCTCCTCATGTATGTGCATCAGTGTTTCATAATTACATCACTTTAAATATTGTGTATAATGATGATGAGTGGAAGAAGAGGCTCTTTAAAGCACTATTTAAATCTGTTAACTAGAAAAACACACGTCACAGTGAATTTCCATATTGTCCTAGTTCAGTAAAGTGTTTGTTCATATTCAGCCAAACAACCTTGGTTTTCTTTGGTTTTTAAAGCATCATATATACATTAGTTTTTCACTATTATTAATTTTTAATCTTGTAAAGTTTGTCCAAAATAAAAACGTTTCAAATAAACCCCTTGTTGACACATTGTTCCTGATAAATCACTGAGATAAGAATTGTTGCAAGAAGCTGTTTATTCCTTCCTTATTCCTCTCACCTACATTTGCCTTTATAAATATTTTCATGTATTTACTACTACTTTTACTATTACTATAATCACTTCACTTCAACAGATTCTTCAGAAATAACTTTTTAGAATTAAAAAACGTTCCAATCTGCTGCAACAGTAGGATAATAAACTAAGTTCATGTGATGATCAGTCTGAGGAGTCATGCCAGCGTCATGTATGAACGTGTCCCACACATGTTGGTCTGTACCTTCCCAACTCTTCACCGATCTCATAGAAATCCTCCACTTTCTGCAGTTTGAATAAATCCATGTGTGCAGCTCTTCAGTTTCCTTCTGTGTTCACCTGCAACAACACAATCATTTCAATCGTTTCACAACCTGATGACAAACTGAGGTCACAGCAGCGGACAGTAGGACGTGTCTTATTGTCTGTATTCTGATAAATAAGTCAAAACTGACACTAGTGAAGGTTTGAGAATGTAGTACGTAGTGTAGTTTTACACAGTAACATCAGTAAAGTTTTACACAGTAACATCAGTAAAGTTTTACTCAGTAACAT